CCCCCCCTGTAAATTCTCTGATATAAACCCCTCTAACCTGTGATTAAAATGAAAGGCCACAATATATATGGGTAGATATATAGACCCCCCTCTCCCCCCCCGGCCCTACTAATTCATAATCTTTTCTGACAGTTAAACTTATTAGTGTACATTCAGGGCATGTCTACATCATTAAGGCACAGTGGTTACTGCACATTTAATTTAGTACTTGTATAGCCAAGTACTAAAGAAATGCGCAATAACCAGTAGGGGTACACTAATAAAGATTTTTTGGGTCAATACAGATAGCCAAATATTAATGAGCCATATCAGCCATTACTGATACGATTGCTGATATGCAGCCTGGCAGCTTGGAGAACAGTGTCCGGCTGGTAAATCAGTGGTGGGGAAGGGGTTGGGGAAAGGAAAGGGCATAGTGGGTGCAGATTGAGGTCCCTGCGTTGAGGAAGGGAGCCGGGCTGGGGCCAAGACAGGCACTGCCCAGCTGGGGCGGGGTGTGGGATAGAGCCATGGGGCTCGTCCGGGGAAGTACAGGGCAGGGGTGGATCCTGCCACTATGTGCAGTCCTGGGGGAGACATGGGAAATGTGTGTCCTTCAGATCTGTGCATGGGGCAAGGACGGGCTGGGGCTGGTGCTGGGCTCTTCCCGGCAGGGGGGCTGGGCTGGGGCTGCACTCGGGGCGGGTGGTGGTGGTGCTGTAGTGTGGGGGCTACAGGGTGGGCCACAGCCACTCGAGAATTGACCATAGAGACCCCCCCCAGTGCTGCCACTGCATAGCCTGCACATAGCCTCGGCCCAAACCTCTTCCAGGGAGAGCTGCCCCTGGTTCCAGCCGGTTGCAGCAGCCCACCCTTGTCCCACACAGAGATCCAGGGGGCACACGCCCCCTACATGGCTCCCCCTGGAGTGTGCATAACAGCGGGATCTAACCCCCACTCCCCCAGCCCGTGTCCCCTGGATGAGCTGCATGGCTCTGTCTTGGGCCCCACCCTGGCTGGGCAGTGCCTGCTGTAGCTCCAACACCACTCCCTCATTGCAGGGGCCTGAATCTGCCCCCC